ATCTTATAGCAGGAGGTGAACGTGCAGGGGATTTTCACTGTCGTTCCATTCAGTGCGTTAATGTTTTGGGGCATGATGACGTCCATGCTTGAACAACCTGTGAAGGGAAGCAACAACATCAGTTAATGATGCAACAACGATAATACATCTGAGATTTGGATAACTTATTCTAAACCAGGGGTGTCAAGCTAAATGTCATGGCGGGCCACATTAGCATTATGGTTGCACTCAAAGGGCCGGTTGTAACTTTAAGACTATATAAATATACATATATAAATATATAAGATAATGTTTTATTTTACATTATTGGCTCTGCGTTGGATTATTATCAGTTCTGGTAATAACTCATGGTTATAAGCAAATGTCTAGGGCAAATAATGGAAAGAAAATATTCAACAATTACACCAATCGTATCTATTATATTCTTTGCAAGCTCTTGAGTTTGACACTCCTGTTCTAAACAATATGGTATACAAAGATATTTTTTTGACCTTCCTTTTATTGACCTTCCTGTCAACGTCGATCTGCTGTTTAATGGCAGAATAAGGGGTTCTTGCATCTGATTGCCACAAAGTTAATTAGTTTAGCGTAAATGAAGTATACTGATTATTAACTTCAAAAAGAAGAATAGGGCATATTCTAGGAAAGCTGAAAGATCTCATGATAATGCTACTTGTGTATTTTAGACCGAGCTTAGACTGCTCCACTAAGTCAGTTTAAATAAAGTTCCTCCTCCCTTCTAACATCACGTCTCAGCATGGATTTACACTCCCCAGACATAATCCGTGCCTCTCTCTCAGTGTGTGTGTGTGTGTGTGTGTGTGTGTGTGTGTGTGTGTGTGTGTGTGTGTGTGTGTGTGTGTGTGTGTGTGTGTGTCTGAATGTATGTGCGTGTGTGATGGGACTCTGCACCATTATTTCCTCTGCAGTCGGGTGTTTCTGGCTCTCTTCCCACTGCTGCTGCACCACTCCACAGGCTTGCCTCTCTGCACCACACTCACACACACTCACACACACTCGCATACACACACACTCTCTACAATTCCACCCAGCGTCTGTATGTATAATTTACACACGCACCATTTTCCATGCGCACAGTCGGGTGTCTTGTAATGCAGCGCAGCACCTGCTCCCTAATGCTTCTTGCTCTCTCACACACACACACACACACACACACACACACACACACACACACACACACACACACACACACACACACACACACACACACACACACAATTGCATACACACTGCTTCCAACTCGTGCTTTGTCAGCAGTGAGCTTAGCCTGCTAGCTGTGCTGTCAATGTCAAACAGCATTCTGAGCTATCTGTACACATAAAGCTAATACACTCAAGGACACACACCCATCACCGTCTCTCACACACACACACACACACACACACACACACACACACACACATCCCATTCACAGTGAGTTAGATGCAGGCTGATGCTGACTCAGCAGTCCTGTCGATAGTGAGAAGGAGGCAGATGCAGAGACTTGCTAACAGATGAAATGCTGCAGTGGAGCAGCCTCCCTCCCTGCCTCCCTCCCTCCCTCCTTCTCTACCTCCTTCCCTCTGCCCCTCCTTCCTTCATTCCTTCCTTCCTTCCTCTCCCATCCATGTCAACTCATGCCTCTCTCCTATACCTCTCCTGTCTTACCCCACAGCTACACTCTAAAAGGACTCCCTATTTTCACTTTCCAAATGCATTCTCTCTCCCACTCCCCTTCTATTTTCATCCACTGCTCTCACAAGGTCAATGCAGAAAATAAGCTGGTGTGTCTGTTACATCACCTGTCCCGTGTGCCCCCAATTCCTCTCATCCAACTCTATGTGAACACCTTGTTATACGTGTGACCGTATGCACATAATACAATTTAAAGCAGAGGTAAGGAAATAACAGTTTTAAGGGAAATGACTGCCTTGTGGATAAAACAATACAAGTGCTGATACATTTAAGGAACTGCAATTGACTATATGTTATTTTTGGAATAGAAATGTCTTTAAACAAGCACATCCTAAAGACCACACAATGTTTCCATTTGTATTGAGAAAAAGATACCTGAAGCTATACTTTTACTTGAAATGGAGTATTTTACAGTTAGGTTTTAGTACTTCTACTTAGGTAATGGATCTGAATACTTCCTCCACCACCACTAAGACTGAGCTGTCCATAACAGAATCACCACTCAGTTGTTTTAGTGTTGACGATGGTTGGATGTATGAGAGGAGGTCCTGTGTGTGTTGGCACTTTAGGGTTATCAACTGGCCACTCAGTTAACTCTCTATAGAGGGCTTCAATATGGCGTCCTTCATATTGTTGAACAGGTTGGGTGTCTTTGTCTTATCCGAGGGCTTTTTATAGGGGCAGGGCCTCACAGGCACGAGGAACAAAAGGCTTTAATGTTCCAGATAACCCAGCAGTAAATTGCAATATACACATTTTACATGTATTTTTCGTTGGAGCATATTATAAAATTTTATTTTATTTTATTTGATCCTATAATGGAGCATACGTTTCTTATAAAGTGTTCTGATTATTTTCATATCCCAACAACAGAGGGACATTGGTGTAAAAGTGAACCATGAGGTTTGTTTGGTACTAACTCATGTCAGGATGATGAAAACAACCCAGAATGGTGCTCTAGGAGGAGATTCAGGTGATGGGCGTGTGTTACCTTAGTTGGTTATTGGATAATGGTTGAACAACCCAACAAACATCGTGACATCACAAAGTAGCCACAATCTGATCCGCTCATTTTCAGACAGCTTTGAGGGGGGAAATTGTTATGTATAAAATCCATGAAAATGTGGGTATTGCATAATAGGTGTCCTTTCAGTTTTTATTTGTTTGTGTTCTTCACTGCAGGGCTTGTCCTTAGCGCCCCCTGCTGTGTAGAAGGTCACACTGCAGCACCCAGGGGCCAAAAGGGAGCAGTCAGTCACATCTGTCAGTTCCTCATGAAGGAGTTGAAGGAAAGGATGCAGAAGCGTTTCTCTGATTAGATAAAAGCAATCAGTCCCAGAACCCTTTAAAGTAATACGACAAAATAGCCTGCAGCATCTTTGTGTCTTACTGTATTATCGGCACTGACAGGGACGCATTATCCAGTGTATTGACCTTATCTCACTGCAGTGCTGCAGGCAGAGTGATTGCACAAGCCAACACTCTTGTGGTAGGTACTTTCCATTTCTTGTCTTCCTCTCCCCTGTACCCTTTCACTGTTATGCATTATTGACCGTCCTGTGGCTGCTTTAATACACAGTATGCTGAAGCCGTTAAGAAGAACTCAAACAACATCCAGATAGAATCGCAGATAAATATACACACAGTTACTGGGTAGTGTAACATGTTTTAAATGTGTTATATTTCAGTGGACTTTTGACCAAATGTGCAGCTTCTAGGCAGGAATCTGAAGATGCATTTTGACGTTTTGAAAATAAACATCGGCAGCTTTCCTACCCTTTCAAATGTTATCTCGGAAGTTTGTTTTGATATTTGATTTGTTTATACTGTGAAGGAAACATTTACCAATCTATTAATTCTGTGTTGCAAGGCCAATCTAGGTTTTACAAAGCAGCACGAGAGTTGAATACAGTAAAAGTAAAAGAACATAAGGTACATTTAAAGGCTTACTGTTGAGTTATGGAAATTAAATATATGAAAGGCATTGTGATGATGCTAAATAACAACATGTCTGTTTGTAAATGTTTTGCGATTCTATTTGAGTATCTTCAGAAACATATTTTTACTTAATATGTGTTTATATAATGTACAATGTTTTAAGGATAAAATTACACTATCCAAATCTATGCTGTCATAACTGCATCAAACCCTGTCTCATAAAACTATTGTTGTATATATGCTCCAATGTTTATTGAAAAAATATATTGTTCAGAAACAGAATGAATATTTACAAAGGTGTCATTTGTTATGTGCCCCAATACTTTAGGTTCTAGATTGTTCTAGATAAGGGAATAAACAATACAAATAAAATAAAAATAAACAGGTAAAATATTAAGCAAAACACTAAAACAAAAACCTGAATTGTAACTAAAAGGGGGTAACTAGGCAATTCACAAACAGCCAAAGACAATTTTCATTAAAAAAAAAAAAAAAAAAAGGTAGAATAGGGAACATTTCCTAACACTTCCGAAAAACGTTAAAAAAGCAGTGTTGGAAGAAGGAATCAGATCGTTTACTTACGTAAAAGTAAAAATACAATGGCCTTAAAACACTCTATTACAAGTATGAGTGTAAAGTGGAAGTATAGAGTGGCATTGAATCGATCACAAATGTCAAAAATGAACTACAAATAATTGAGTAAGTGATTTCCATCACTTGATCAGAAAGTCTTATTGTTTCCTTTATTTATTTATGTATAGGCTCTGCTGGAATAGATTTCCTGTTTAATAGACAGGCACTTAACTAGCCTCAGTGCAAGCGTTTCCTCTGTCCATTTACAGAAATGTGTTCCGGCCACAATCAATAAGCCACTGCAGCAGTAATCATCTATGATTTATTATGGATTTGGATTTGGTTTAATTAACTGATTTGTGGTCATTTGATGCTTCTACACATCATGACGCAGGCACTTGATGCAAGTGCGGTAACAGTGGATGTTTTTTTTAATGTATTGTAATGTTCAGGGTGCTGCTGCCCTCTACTGCCTCTCCTCAGGAACTGTGAGTGCAGTTTCCAAAAAATATTCAAACGCATTTTTTCAAATAAATATATAACACAAACATAAACAAAAAAGTGCAACAGACAAAATAGTTTGACTTTGTTGCAGGAATAATGTCTCAAATTGTAATGATTGTGTGCATTGCTTGAATTTCACTTAACAGACTGTATGTGGTTTGTCTTGTGTGTCATGTTTTGCATTTTGTTTATGTATGTCTGTAAGTTGTTGCTATTGTCGGGACCCCCTTGAAAATGAGATGGTGCATCTCAAGGGGTTTATCCCAATGAATACACATTTCTATATATAT